TGGGCCTTTGGAGGGAATTCAAGATCCAAACTGTAGCACCTTTTCTCATGCCACTTGGGGAAGTTACTTTGGGACAAGACTGTAGAGTGAATTAAATTTCACGTTTTAAACTTTGTCCTTTACTCGATGAAGAATTTTAAAAAGCGTTTGAACAAAGAGAAATGTAGGCAAAATGATGTTTCCAAGCCATGAATTAATGGTGATGGTAAGGATGAAGGGAAGTCAATTTTGGTCTTTTGTTATAGACTGGCTTCTCAGGCACAGGGTTGGGCTCCATTTTCCTAACAACTAGATGGGGCTGTGCCATTGCTCTTTACTAAAGGACAGTGAGCAGAGGAGGCCACTTTCCGTCTGAAGAAGTCTAAAGCAGGAGTTAATCTAACCTAAATGTTGGTCTAGCCCTCTTTCTACCACCTGGAGGATACCAGGATAATCCTGAAGCTACACAGTGAGGCTAGGGAAGCCACATAAGACAGAAGCTGAAATCCATGATTCATTACTTGGAGGGGAGCTACCCACTAAGAACATCAGCTGCACTGGAATTCACATGAATTAGAAATAATTTTTTTTTCTCAAATCACTATGAATTAGGCATTGTTTGTTATGATTGCTAGTGCAGATAATTTTAACTAATAAAGGTCACTGTGATAGGGAGCTTGTAGTGGCGAGGACAAGGAATGGAGTTTGCTATGATGAATGGAAAAGGAAGACATCTATTGGAAAGGCATGACATCCCAGAGGAGAAATGGCAGAAGAATCAAGGAAGACATGAAGAAATTGTCAACAGAAATAATAGTATCCATGGTCAGGGCTGCTTTGGGGAAATTACACAACTACTTTTATTTCAGACATGGCGAACTTGCTTATTATAGTACATGCAGACAAAAATGCCTGGAAAATATTGTAAAAACAGAGAATTTAGGTTTCAAAATTAAAAGGGTAATAGTTAGAATGGGCCTAAAGTGGGTCTGCTTGTCAAGAGGAGCAACTGACCATATAAGTAGTTGGAGTGGATTTTCTATTTGGTTTGAACAATCCAATAGTTAGGAAAAAAATATATCTATCTATAGATATAGATAGTTAGATATAGATAAAGATGTTTAAGACACTCAGAGATACAAATGAAGGCATTACATATATAAGAAATTATTAAACAAAACATGTTGGAATAAAATAGTGTATTACTATGAAAAAGAATAAATTAGGAAGATCATAATTACACAGGAAGCACGTTCATGTCAGCAACACTAGGTGCCAAGAGGCAATGGCATAATGTTAAAAAGAAAACAGATGTAAACCTATCACTGCTCATTAAAAGTGAGGAGAAAACAAAGACACTTTCAGACATGAAAAGACCAAGCACATTTAACATTGGTAGGCTCCCAATAAAAGAACAATCAAAATATATACTTACACAAAAAAGCAAAGAAAATTTGGGGGATATGAAAAAAGTAGTTAGCACAGGAATTGACAAAATAGTAAATTTAACAACCACTGATAGTAAGCTTACATATTATTTTTTTTTATTTTTTAGAGTAAGTAAAACTACACAATTATAACAATATTGGGGTAGAAAACATGCTTAGTAATTGGTTAAAGGGTACTGAGTTTATTGTCTCTTTGGGGAAGAAGATAAAAACATAGGATTTGTAGGAAATATGAGCAATTAAGTATGCATATTAAGGTTTCAATGTAATAAGTAATAAAATTAAATCATAATGACAGGGAAAAGAAAGAAAAAAATATTTATAAATGAAGGCAGAAAAATGGGAGAGAATGCAAATAAAAAGCAGTAAGTACACAATACACAATACAGCAAGAGAGTAGAAAAAAGTCCAAAATATATTAGTAATCACAATGAAGAAAAAAATGATATTCATAAATTGAAAGAGTCAGACTGGTAAAATGCTAAATGCAAGAGAAATATCTAAAGCAATACTACATAGAAAAGTGGAAAATAAAAGGACCAAAGAACTGTTCCAGCCAAAGAATATCAAAGAAAGCAAACTAACCAGGAACACAAAACACGTGCCACAACCTCAGCCTGAGACAGTGAAATTAACACTGGCATTCAGTATTTTTTTGCATAAATAAATATACCAATGAAATAGAGAGACAATGATCAGCTAGAATGTACATGGAAACCATATGACTTGTAAGTCAGTAAAAATAAAAAAAGGCTAAGCTATTCAATAAGAGATGCTGGCACAACCAGATATCCAAATGGGGGAAAAATTGGGCTGAAATCTAATATTGTACTAAAATATAATAGTAAAATTAAATGTGAAAAACAAGACTTGAAGGAAATGTAGGAAAATACATTAAAGACATTAGAAACATTTCTTAAGCAGGACTCCAAGCAAAAATTGTTGAAGGAAATATTTCTCATTTTTGACATTGAAATTTAAAACTTCTGTGAAACAAATCACATCATAAACACGGTTGTTACATGACGAGCTTTACACCAGGAGAAGATTATCTATTCCAGAATTTGTATTCTGAATATAAAAAGAACTTCTATGTAGCAATTACAAATGCACATAAATTAGAAAAAATGCCCAAAGGGTGGAAACCAGTAAATTATAGATGAGGAACCTGGAATGAACAAAGTTTGAGAAAGGTACTAGTAACTTCATATTAATAGTATCAGGTGGGGTAGGTACAAATTAGCACGACAATGGATATCACTTGATACTCATCAAAAATTTAAAAATCTGAAAATGCCAAGTCTTGGCAAGATCCAGTGAACTAGGTGTCACACTGTAATTTGTATCAACTCTTTTGGGAAATGTGTTAGTTGACCTTACACTTCTTGTGACCCAAGCAAGGCATGCAGTCCAGGGCACGTGACCACTTGCAAATATGTTGGTGTCTATACTGTTGGGCTCAGCTAAGCAATGACCAGGAATAGAGTGGATAAATAAGTATCAATCCTTTCATTCACTGAAGTTCTTTTTTCAAAGGTTTCAGTGATTTACCTACTAAGGATTACTGAAATCAAAGAGGTGTGGGAGATAGTCTTGTTTGTGTCACTGACTGTATACAGACTTGGGCAAGTTCCTTATCCTGCAAGGTCTTAGATTCCTTGTTGCGCATAAGAGGGACTAGGAATAATAATCAGAATAACCCATGTAAGTTTTAGAAGCTTACATGCCTGAACCCCTTCTCAGACTTATTGCATCAGAGACCCAAAGTGTGGGCACACTCAACACTCCTTCTGTAACAGTAATTTTACCCCCTCAGTGGGGAGCTAGGCAGTTGAGACATGAATTTCATTCATAGAAACTTTTACAAATACAGCTTCTCATTCCCCCTGTTTTCATTTTTGAGTTGTGGGTTGTACTGAGGATTTCCAAGTCTCCATCTCAGTAGCATTCTGGAAGCAAAGCCTTCTTGCTAATGCTCCTATCTCCGCAGGGTAAGCAGTTACACTTAAACCAGCAAACAATCCCAGAGGACATATGGTTCTTATAGTTAAGAGGGTGGACAATGCTGTCGATCTGGGCTCAACTCTGCACTCCTGCCCTTACAAGTTGTGTGACTCTGGGGAGTTACTTATATATTAGTCAGGTTTTGTGTCTCTGTGATGAAAATACCCAACAACAACAACTTAGGGGAGGAAAAGTTCATTTTCAGTCCATGGTGATTTGAGTCTATTGCTCTGGACCAAGGTGAGGCAGAACATCATGGCAGAAGGGTGTTTATGCTCCACTCATGGAAGCCAGGAGTTGGTGGGGGGAGCAGGGGAGAGAGAGCGAGCGCAAGCAAACAGAGGGAAGGGAACACAGGGAAGATGCACCCCTCCAGGAGACAAAGTGGAGGGTAGGGTGTAATATTTCCTTCAGCACTGATGTCTAGAGGCCTTGTCTGCTTGCTTTTTTGGAGTCTATGGAGCCAGATATGGGAGAAAATTTGCAAATATATTACAAAATTGCAATCCTTTTGGGGTCTAGGATCTCAGAAAAATTAAACAGACCTGCACATTTTGCATCCACCACAGCTGAACAGCCAGGGAAGGGGAATTCCAGTGAACTAGGTGACCTCCCAACTACCCAAATATCCACCTTGTAAAATATCCATTTTTCTTTAAAAGCTGCTAATTAGGAAGTTGTTCCAGCTGTAGAGCAAGAACATTGTTCATGGAATCCTTTTACATTTGGTGGTGCTCCTCAATATTTTATAATTTATATATATACCGATATATACAAACATGTATAAGTTGCAAAATTAGTATATATAGTAATTTTATATAATAATAATTATATATATAATTATTTTGCACGCACACACACACACACACACACACACACAGCTAGAGATCAAAACCTGGGCCTCACACATGTTAGACAAATGCTTTACCATTTTTAAATTTTTAAAAAAGACACCATGGTGTGGGGATTTAGGTAAATCTCCCCCATGGTGTCTTTTTTATAAATTTCCTTATCTTATGAATTCATGTCTTAATGCTAATGATAATTTGACATTTATTTCTAATTGAGGTATTAACAATTATATGAATTAAAATGTATTCTCTCTTTTAAAAAAAATCTGAGAACTTCTCAGTGCCTCCCAAGATAACTTGGAAATGCATTATATCTCATAGTTCTCATGGCATTGTAGACAAGGTTCAATGTAAGCATTTGGCTAGGCCTTGTCATAGGGCAGAGTGTTTTCTGAGCCTTGTTTTTCATGAAGCTCTGGAAATTGCCACCAAATGCAAAGGGAAATAGAAAGAAAGTCTTAAGACTGTTCATTCTCTAAACAAGGCTCCCAGCCACTGCCCTTGCCTCTAGTTTCATGCCCTTTCCTGAACTAGATGAATTAAAAAAGCAGGACGGTGATGAGAAGGTACAGTGGGGACCCAACTCAGGACTTTACCTCCAGGAGGAGATTTTAAGAATATGTCCATATGTGTCTATGCATAGAAAAAGCATCTTGAAATATTTTTAAAGGGTGGAAATTGAAATCTCAAGCACAGCATAAAACAGATAAGCAGGAAATATTTGCAGAGTGACCAAGTGGTGAATTTTCATTGTTGACTAATGAGATTCATTGATATCAGGTGTGTGGTTGGTGCTTGAACCTGATAAAGCAGTTTGCTGGGGTGTGTCAAAGATATGGACATGATCTGTGCAGATGTGATCATTTGGAAAAGAGATTTCCACATCTTAGAACCAATATAAAGGGTAGAAGCTATACCAGGCAGCTTTACTTGCTCCAGTACCTTCTTCCTGTCAGGCAAAATGAAAATTCTTGTGAGTATTTATTTATACTTCTTGATATCCTTGTGATGGGCTCCTTGCAGAGAATGTTCATGTGCAATATGTCAAAGATTTCAGGGGTCTTAGACTCTGTTTATGCTTCTAAGCTTCTGTTATTGAATTCATAATGTCTTTGGCAGAAATAGTGCTGAGTATTAAGTTGAATATTTGTGTGTCCCTTGTCTACTTTTTCTTTCTTTCGTTTTTTGGTGATGTTTACTTAAAAAGAAAAGAAAAAAAATTGGATATATGTAGGCAATTTTAATTTGGAAGATGTTTAATATTAATCCCTTATCTCAAGTGTTGTTAGTAAGGTAGGCATTTTAGAGAAATTACATTTACTATTTTTAAAAAAAAGAGAAGTGGTAATTTTTAAAAAATGCCAGTAATAGTAATAATAGCAGCTATGGTATTAAACCACATCTAGAATTTCAAATGCATATTAAATTGTAGGCTAATCTTTCACAGGAATAATTCCATCTATTTATTGCCTCAACCCTGTAAGCTAGATAGTATTATCCTCATTTTCTAGATCAGTAGACATAGAAGAGTACAAATTTTTCAAACTCATGAATGAGGGTTTTAGGATGTAATTTATCCAGGTTAAGTCTTGCTTATAGGAGCAGCCAGGCAAAATCTAAGCAGTGAGTGTCAACACGTCTACTCATCATGTCTAAACTCTCCCTTAAGGCAAAGTATTCCTTCCCTGAGTGACCCCACTCCTCCATCTGATCCCAGTCTCCATAGTGCCACACTGATTCAGAAGGGGGTTCCTTCCTCTAGCCTCTGTCTCTTCTTCTCATTCAGTTGCTAAGGGAGAAAGCAAAGTGTTAAGCCATAAAGGCTGTGAGTTTGAAGAGTTCCCCTCCCAGGGCTTGCTTGATTTTCTAAGAGGAAAATTTTATAACAGGGTGCATTAATGCATTAATGATGGTATTGCGTGGGAGATTATTTGGGGGCAGAGGACCCTCCCTGAGCTCCTTCTAATCATATTAGTAAAGTGGGCTGTTCATCATCTTATTCAAATCTCTATTCTAAATCAACTAAATAGAATGGAGCATCACAGGTTGATAGAGCAGTCTTGGGGTAGAGAAGGTGAGCCTCTGAGTAAGTGGGGCTCACTGGATATCTGCAGCGCGTCTTAATTAGCTGCTCCAACCCCAATGACAAACATTAGGAGTGAAATGAAAAAGGACGTAAAAAGTCCCACTGACAGTTCTTAAAAGTATCTGCCCTTCCCACAGATCTTCTCCATTGGAAGCTTTCAATGTTAGTGTAGTTCACTACGATGCCCTGGAGAGAGAGCACGATTAATGTCGACTAAGGTCATCACATTAGATTGTTGAGCATATCTGCAAAATATCAGATCTGCCTCCATGTCAGGCTTGCAGTTGTGCTGGCCCAGCACTCACCTGATAAAACCACAAGAGCATGGGTTGGCAGGATATGGAGATTTTCCTTGATGCCAGACTCAAATGTTAACTGTATTCTTAAGCATCCTAGCTTCATAGTTTCTGTTAGAAATCCATTGTGCTTTTTCCCATTCATGAATCTATTTTAAGTCTATTTTACCCTCTCAGTATCAAGGGATTAAAGATCTTCTTTTTTTTAAAATTTTTATTTGTTTTAATTAAGTTACACATGACAGTACAATGATCTTGACATATCATACATTTGAATCAAATGGGGCATAAAATTTCTTGTACAGTTTGCAAGATCACATTGGTCATATAGTCACGTCTATACATACAGCAATAATAGTGTCTAAAGATCTTCTTTTTTAACCGGAGGACATCATTGTTCACAAGTAATCCAAAGCCAGTATGAATTATTTTGGGATATACTCCTAGGAAAATAAGGTCTTCCACTCTATTCACCAGCCCCCAGTTTTTTTCTGCTATCTAGAGGGTGATAAAGTTGGGACTTACGTGGCAAGGGGCCTTGTGTCTTATAAATGGTATAAACTCAACAAATGCCTTTGAGTGTGTGAATATGTGTGTTTTCCACTTTGGAAGTGGACTGCTTTCCACTTTTTTGACACCTACCAGTGTCTCTAGGTGTCCGGGTCTACCCTTCTGGTTCCAACCCTCAGTGACTACCCGACAAGGAATGGATGTAACTGCTCTATTTTTTCAGGTGGCATTTCTGGTGGTGCTGGCCATCTTTGGGACACAGTCGCATGGATATGAGGTAAACTGTTTCCTTAGAAATGTTGGGAGGTGAAAAGGAAGATAAAAGAGAATCTGAAGGACAGTAGAGAGTCCATATGCCCTGAGATGGAATCCCAGAAATAGCCAATAAGGAAAATGATGGGGTAATCATTTCTAACTGCAAAGCCTTCACCAATGTAACCCATTCCTTTAAAATGTGGTCAGTCTCCTGTGATATCATTTCTTCTCCTTTTTATGATACAGTAAACTGAAGAAAAGCTTGGCGTTCTTATCTTAGCATGGGCTTTGGACTAGGATTCCAAGGAAGAAGTTTTAGCTTTTAATGACTTGCTCGAAGTAATTAGAAAGCTTTATTTTGCTGAAAGACCTGTCTTTCAAATGCATATGATTTATGGAAAACCCATAATATCTTTGTTGTCAATTCTAGGTTTATAACATCATCAGCCCAGGCAACAATGGTGGCAATGTTCAGGAAACAGTGACGATTGACAATGAAAAAAATACTGCTACCGTTGACATCCATGCTGGATCATGTTCTTCCACCACGATTTTTGACTATAGACATGTAAGCAGCAAGAGGATTTTTGTTTTCTTCAACACTGGTTTTCTAAGGGGCAGAGGGACAGCTGCTTACTGTGTATTTACATTCCAGAGTTTGTCTCTGCAGTTCCTTATAAATTTCCTCACCTCTGCTTTTCCCTTGAAATAATCTAGCGATTTATTAGCAAAGAAGCAAATGGAATCATTTCTAAGAAACAATATGATAGAAATCATTTGCATCTTCATGACCTTTTAAGGCAGAAAGTGGAAGAGCCATGTGCTGCTGTTCATTACAGGCCCAGAAAGTACATAGCGTAAGAGAGTGACCAAAGCGAAGCCCAGCACAGAGGCTCTCAAAATACTTGTTGAATGGATAAACAAATAAATCAGAGCTCCTAATGCAAAACACCATGTAGGAAAAGAACAACCGCAAGGCAATCACACCGTAGCAGAAAATCAGAGCAACTTTATACCATTTAATTATGTATATAGTAATGTCACATTTTTATAAGAAGGTACTTCCAAGTTTTAGTTACTAGCATTAAAAATACATCTCAGAAACTGCTCAGAAAACTTATTCTGTCCTTCATCCACTTATCCATTTGTTATACCAACACTAGTGATGGCCCTTTTTTTGTTTTAAACCTGAGTACAGAGATGTGCACAATAGATATAAGTAGGTTGTAGCTAATCTCACTGGTCATTTAAAGAGGCTTTTTTTCTCCATTTCTTCTAGAAACTTCCTCACATGCTTACTTACTTCCCCCTTCTGTTGAGAGTGCCATGGCACATTTGAAAGTACGGAGTCTTTGCAAGATACACTTTAGAAGGAAGTGGTTCTAAAATTCTTACAAAGCAAATGTCACGGAAATCCCCCAAATGTTTAAAAAAACTAGAGTGGTAAGCCCCTTACACTGTCCTCAGCCTTGCCTTCAGCATATTTTTGAGTTTTAGAAACTAGAAATTTGTTAGAATTGTAGAATAGGAACTATAAGAGTTCCTATGAGATACAGCCTTATGGAGTATATGATTATTTAAAACTGTGTAGAGAAAAGTTTCACTCAAGATGAAAATTCAGTGGCTTAGGTGCTTTTTGGCTCCACGGTCCCCATGTTCCAAGGTTCTTCACATCCCTACTTTCTCAAACTAATTCCTCTTCAGCCAATTTGGATTTGAAGTGGAGATAGGATGGAGAAAAAAGAAGGCAAGAAGGTGGTAAAGCATGTGTGCAGGTGTGAGGGTAGGGCTAGGTACACTGAGAGAGCTCTAAAGCACCGTTGTCTGACAGAACCTACTTTCTGTAATGGTGGAAATGTCCTATATCTGCATTTTCCTGTAGGGAAGCCTCTATCCAGCCACTTGTTGTGATTGAACACTCAAAATATGTGATGGAGGAAGCACATTTAAAATTTTATCTAATTTGAATTTAAATAATCATATGTGACTAGCAACTACAATACTGAACACCACAATTCTGAAGAATGTTGCGTTTTATTCCAAAGTGGGGGAAAAGCAACATAAAACCTATCAAAAAACACAAGATTGCTGCATCTCAATCTTTCAAACTCCAAACTGCAGATCCTGATCCCATAATATGAAGAGTAGGCCTAAGTCATGGGTGTGCACAATTTCAAAGGGATGGGAATGACAAATAAGAAACGAAAGTGCAATTTTGTAAAAGTTGAGTGCACAGAACTGATTACAGATTTAAAAACAAGGGTAGGGGCTCACTGTGCATGCTCAGGTTTTTCTTCCAAGGCGTAGACGTCATTTTAGATGTTTAGAAACCAGGCAATTGAGGAGGGGCAGTAACTCTGTTCTTACTGCCTCAGGGCTACATCGCATCCAGGGTGCTCTCCCGAAGAGCCTGCTACGTCCTAAAGATGGACCGTTCAGCTATCCCTGCTCTGGACAAACTGGAACGGTACCTCTATGAGATGAAGGTAATTTTAGGATACCCTTAAAAATGCTCTGTTTCTGAGCCGTGGAGAAATGAAGAATGAGAGAGAAGATTAAAATATTGTACCTTCCCATAATGTGGTAGTCAACTTATCAAAAACTTAACTGTATTTCTTTCTTTCTTTGAGCTATGGAGTACATCTCAGCTCAGTTTCCAGCATACAGCTTATATGTATGAACTTATAAAAAATTTCAGTGTCTTTGTAGAGATGATTGATCAGATTGTCTTCTTAGAGCCAGGCTCTATGAAATAGCAACTGGCAGAACAATGAGTAAAGTTGTATATTTGATGATATAAAAGATGCAAAGAAACAATCTGATACAGTGAGAACATGTAAGCCTGTACTGATGCTTCATACCTGGGGCTTAGTCATACCCCACAACTTCAAAATAGCACTAGTAATAATGAGGTCTCTCTGCAGACAGAGTGGTCAGAAAGAGAGGATGCCTTGAGATCCCTGATGACCTTGTGTTTGATCATTTGAAAGAGAGCCAGGTGAGGTGGCACATGCTGTAATTCCAGCTACTGGGGAGGCTAAGGCAGGAGAATGGTAAGTTCAAAGCCTGCCTAAGCAACTTAGTGAGATCCTGTCAGAAAGAAAGAATGAGAGAAAGAAAGAAAGATTTGGGGATGTGGTTCAGTAGAAGAGTTCTTGCCCAGTATGCTTGAAGCTCTGAGTGAAATCATCAGTATAGAAAATAATAATAATGATAATAATAATTTGAAAGAGAAAAACCAGTCAAGGTTTAGAATAAGGTGCACCCAAGTTGCCAGTTTATTTTATGCTTCCTTCTCTGGTTCAGACGATAAACGTCATGTCCTCCAACAAATACACCTGGGTCAAGTACAACCCTCTGCAGTCTCTGATCACGAATGTGGACTGGTTCCTGTTTGGGTCACCCATTGAGCAACTCTGCAAACACATCCCCTTGTATAAGGGGGAAGTGGTTAAAAAGACAGGTGAGTACCAAGGAATTGTTCGTTCACCAGACCTTTTTAGAAAGCTCCTCTGTGCCAGGCCCTCTGCTAGGTGCTGTGTGAAATGCAAATAAATGGAAAGGTTTATTTCCAACTGACCTGACTCAGTTTACTTCAGGAATCAAGTCCTTCCTGTGTGTGTGGAAATTGCACTAAATGTCATAGGCACAGAGATGGTGAAAGGTCTGCCTCCTTGGAATGTACCGTCGAGTGGGAAAGGTTGAAATAGGAAAGGATTCCTGAGTGTCAAAGGACAACCATGGGCCCTCTTTTTTCAAATGTAAGAATTTCAAGTAGAAGAAAGTCTTCTGGGCCCTCAAAATAGCGTCTTTTGGAGATGAAGGAGAGCATTAAGAAATGTCCTCAGAATCTAGAAGAGAACTGATCCAGGAAACAGCAGGCCAAGGAATGAAAGCCCTGTATCATCCGGGTAACACAGGGCACTGCAGTCATTACTGAATTGTGTACAGTTTCTAAATGCAGTAGAGTACCCAGAAGAAATTCCCAGAGTAGCCGAAGGTAGATAAAAAGAAAAGGAGTAGCATTTACTACATTTTTACTGCCTGGAAAAAAAAAATTTCAAGACCCATTAGCACTTTTAAGGCACAAAGTCTGCTGCCAACACAGAATTTACAGCATCAATTAGGTCTGAGCTGATCAATACTTCCAGGAATTGTCAATCTTATTTAAGTGAATATGGTATTATTCTTTGCTATGCCAGAATAGCTAAAATCTTGAGTATCATGAAGTTATAATACTTAAGATGTTTATATAAATCCTTGATTTGTTGTGCTGTAATATATTTTTAATGACCTTTTAAACTTTTCACCTTTCCAGATGATACTGCTGCTGGAGGTTGTGCAAAGGCAGGGCTCCTGGGCGTCTTGGGAATTTCCATCTGCGCAGGCTTCCATATTTAGGATGATCACCTACTGGGTTTCATCCTTTCAAAGAAATCTAACCTTGGTTTCCACTCAGAAGTCAGATTAAATTCTTTCTCAACATCTTGTCTAATTGCGAGATTCAGTAATAAAATACGTTATATTTACAGATAAATATGTCAGTTCTTTTTGTGAGCAGCAAAGGGAAGCCAAGCAATATATATAAGGAAAAAGAGCCTCCAGGATTTCCAATAAAGTGCATAATGTGTGAAAATCCGCAGATGGTTTGGCTGCATGTGAGTGTCCACATCTGTCTGCATCTGCTTGTGGAACCAGTTTCCCATGTGTTTGTCCCAATGCACCAGAAAGTCTGGGTGGAACAGGGGCTCAGGTAGCAGTGACTTTGACACAGTGAGGGGGAGGGACATAGTATACTTTTATCAAAGAACTTAACTGCTCAAGTGAAGTAAACTATTCCCTCTGATAAGCACTCAGCTTTGAGAGCCATCGGTCACCTTTTAGGAAATATCTTTGGATTTGCCACTGTAGTAGACTGAGTAGAGTGAGTGGAGAGGGAAGGAGAAACAACTAACACCTAGGAAAAGATGTACTGTACTGGAAATCCTCATGGGAGTGAAAAATATAACTGGGAATGCCAAGTGAATATACAGCTGGAAAGCAATTTTCATCCTTTCAAAGAAACTACACCATATGGGAAAATTCCCTGATCAAATACCTGGGTCTCATATAGTCTGGTCAGCTGGATCGCAAGTTCAGAACAAAGAGGCACTATTTTAACATGATTCCCACCTGCCGTTGACTATTCCTCTTCCTAACACTCTACATCTGCTTCTTAATAGTCATCAACTAATACGTTTTTTTAAAGCACTTACCATGTGCTCAACACTGAAACAGGTATGCAGGAGGAAGAGGCCCAGGACAGAGCTACCATAGTCAAGAAAGTTATTTTCTCACTGAGTAAATGAGGCATTTGTATTTAAAAACCTGGTAAGAGCAGTAAAATGTCAAGTAAATGGTAGAGTAGTTTAGCTGGAACCTTGGTGTTTGTAAGTAATGGAACCCAAACCAAATTTTCTGACGCCAAAGGAGACTTTATTGTCTCATGTCACTAGCCTTGGAAGGAAAGGGATGTTCTGGTCTTGGGAAGCTAGAACTCTGTGCCTAATGGTGACCAGACCCTCTTTTTCCATGTCTCAACTTTCCTTTTTTCTTCATGTTATCCTTGGTATCTTATACTGGTTTTCTCAGGAGGAAAGAACCAATATTGCTGTCAAACCCAAGGGCCTCCCTCATGTTCCCAGCTTCATTGGCCGTGAAGAGGGGGTTCCTCTTAGTTCTAATTGCAAATTAGTTTTAACCTGAAAATTCTCTGGTGACGACCTTAACTGGCCAGGATTAGTGCTGGTGGCATGGGGTAAGGTCCAGGAAGGGGTGTTATGATTGGCAATCTCCTTACTGCTTAGAGATGTGTCATCCCTATTCATTTTTAGAATATTGGTCTCATTTTGAAAATAGAATGCTGTGTTCTGATTTCTTCTTAACTCTATAAATCAGTTGATTCTACTCCACACTGTTGACTCACTGAATAACTGACAAGCAGCTGGTGGAACGTACTAGGCACATGCCTACCGGGAATGGGTTCAATGGACCACTGCCAGGAGGTTGGGAGTCCATTATATTTTCTTGTAATTAGCTCCTTCTTAAGGGCTGAGAAAAGTAGATATCAGCTCTGTCAACTCACCAGATGTTCACACCATAGAACCTCTCTGGGCCTCAAGAGGGAAACACACGTGGTTCCTCCCATTCATGTTGTAGCATATGACCTTGGGAAGGGACAGGCCAAGAATTTGTCCCTCACACCTCCCATTTATGGTGCAGCCCACCCCTTTGCTTTCTTTGGAAAAGGTAGCTTTGCATATTGTAGGACATAGTGTTAGGCATGCAATGCCTGGCCAATGAATGGCCTTGTTCATGACCTTGGGAAGCTTCACTTTTCTGTTTTCCAAACTAATGACTAGAATAGGGAGAATCTGAGGTGCTCACCAGCCCCCTCCAGTCTGAAGTGGACCACACCTTAAGAGTCCTGCAGACTGTGTTTAAGTGCTGCCTAGAGTTCTCCAGCACAGTCACCTGTTGACCCTCTCCACACCCTTGTGGCTGACGGGGTGTGGGCAGGATATTGCATGAAGAAACTTTCTGGAGTGTTGGGAAAGTTCTACAGATTCATCTGCGTGACGGCTACATAGGGGTACATAAGTTCAATTCATTGAGCTGCGCTTTTCAATCTGCTCTTCATTGTATTTTTTACCTCAATAAAAATGTTGATGTATTTTTAACATTTAAAACACAACTGAACAAGAGAAGGCCCACCCCTTTATAGCATTCTCAGGAAACACACAGGGTGGTGATTTCCATAGCCATCAACAGTCTTGGAAGTCTTGAGCTCCAGTCTCAAGTGCTTAGAGCCAAGCCTGAGGACTCCTCACTGTGGTCCTCCTTCAGGGCCCAGGAGGCTGTAGGCACATGGACAGCTGCAGCTCTTCAGGGATCTGCCTGCACTCAAGGCCTGGTGAAAGGCCTCATGGGAGTAGCTGTGGACACGATGCAGGCTGCAGCCCAGGCATGCAGTAGGAGGACCAGCAGCATGTTCCAGGCAGGATCTGGGCACTAGTGGCTCCTGATCCCTTAGGAAACTGAGTGGGCAGAAAAAGAACACTGGGCAGCAACAGCCTGGGGCAGGCAAGCCAGCCCACTCATATTCAGACCTGAGTTTGGAGTCAGTTGGCTCATCCCAGAAACTGCTGAGAAGCAGGAATGGTGGGGAAAGTTAGAGGTGACACCATCTGGGGTGACCCAAATTAATCACTATGATGAGGAGACTTTCTCCATAAGGAGGACAGTTAAGGAATGAGCACTAAGAATCCAGGTCCCTTATTAATTTGCAATGGACTACCTGTGGGTCATCACTGAAGGGTTCAGACCAGTTCCCAAGAGGGGCTTGCTTGCTCACTTTCAGAGATTATTATGGTGCAGGCTGGGCCACTACAGGAAACGGAATTCCCTGGAATCTTTACTACAATTTTCAGAAGACTGCAGACCCGACATTGAGTTTATTCTATGGCTAGTGTCTTTATTTCTTTGTTTATTGCCAAAATTCTCAAGGAATTCCTCAAGGAATATCCCAGAGAGATGTTTCGAGATGAGACATGTGGTAATGCACACCTGTAATCCCATAAACTCAAGAGGCTGAGGTAGGAGGATCATGAGTTCAAAGACAGCCTCAAAAACTTAGCAAGGCCCTGTCTCAAAATAAAAAAATAATTTTTAAAAGGCTGGGGATATGGATCAATGGTTAAGTACACCTGGGTTCAATCCCCAGTACCAAAAAAAAAAAAAAAGAAGGAAGAGGAGGAGAAAGAGGAGGAGGAGGAGGAGGAGGAGGAAGAAAGAAGGAAAGGAGATACATCCTAAGAGAGGGAGCTCCTCCTTTGCACCATGCCTATGTGTGATTTTCTAGGTTGCATGTGGCTTGCAATGTTGAGAGGACAGTGCAGACAGGTAGGGCCCATCTGCTAGATCAGTAATGAAAGAAGCTTTATTGTTCTAACCCAGAGAAAGAGGGTATATCCATTTTCCCAGATTTCAGAATGGGGTATTGGGTTGAAAGAAAGAAGATGGAGATCTGAAATGAGCAGCTTCACATAGGCAGAGGCTGGGCCAGGTACCTGCTCCAGGCCAGCAGCCCAGGCCAAGTGGGTCCACTCTTCATGCAGCTGACCTGGAGGTTCAGAGTCCAGGAATCTCACCACAGATGGAGAGTCCCATAAAAGATAGAAGCTGGATTGCAAAACAGGAAGTAGGGTCGACTGCCAGGGCAGTACCTTTAAAAAGAAAGAGAAGCATTTTTATGAGCTGCACCTGGTGCTCAGCAGAGATGTGGAACCTTGGAAATGGAAGATTCTACCTTCTCCCCTCCCAAGACAATAAGTGCCTCTACCTCTCTATTTCTTTTACTGATCCATAACTATCCTCCTTCATCCTCTAGCCCCTCCCTCAAGTTCTCCTGAATCCTTTTTCATTGGTAAACTTATACTAAGGTATAAATGAGTGGCAATAGCCTCAAGGAACAAGTGTCCTGGTCATATACAGACGAGGGCGAAGATCATGAAATCTTATCTGGTAGCTTTTCAAGCTGAGGTCACATCCCCAAAAGGGGTGCCAACCACTGCGTTGTTCCTGTCCCAGTGTGGTCTGTAACTATTTGGGTCTTACCTCTCCAGCCTTCTTGAGAACAAGAAGTGAGAACCCCAAATGGGACTCTAACTCACAATAGACTCCATGATGCTTGGGCATGATGTAGCCTTGAATCAGGGGAAGACATCCATCAACTGTCAAATCCCTTTGATGAGATAGCTGACCTTGACCTTCTGATGAAGCTAACTCTGCTCCTCATTCTCAGTGATTCCTAGTGTCAAGAAATCATCTCTGCCAGCAGGGGCAATGCATGCTGGGCCATGTGATTTTTATACCACTCACAAAGAAATGGAATCAACTATCGCTAAATTATGCCAATGACCTAAACACCCTACTGCACCTTTTGACTCACCCAAGGTCTTGGATTTGTTAACACACCTTCTTTCTGTTGATGAGCAAAGTAGGTGGGGACATCTCTGCACAGGTCCTTGACGAGAATTCCATACTGAGCTAAATTCTTGATCCGGCTGGGTAAAACAGTGTAGGTCAGGCCGTGGGTGGATGGGTAATGACTGGAATCCTGAAAGAAGTGGCATGTTAAAATGGTGAGACAGCATATAGAGGTGGAACAAGAAGGAGGAAGAAATGAAATTCTGGGGCCCTGGTCCTCAGGTGAGTGGCAACAGGATGTGTTTGATTCACTGCACAGAACTAGGCTGTGAACCCAACCTGTCCTAGAGTTCAGTCTCAGACAGCAATATCCCATCTAGCCACAAGGAGGCGACATTACTCTAGAAAAATTTGTAGGTTTGAGTGGACCTGGTGGTGACTTCCTGTCTCTTCCTTTCATTGTCTAATGCTTTCTCATCTCTGATGATAATATAGAGTAGATAAAAGTTATTTGTTGCATTTACATGTTTTTTCTTGTTAATTCAATCAATGGGCTATTTTAGACTTCTCCAAGAATATAAGTTGCTTTATTTTTATGTGACATGAAATCTATTTTTATTTTTTCCCCAAAGTCAGGAACCCTTCCTGCCAGTGTTCCCAAATGTGCTCTGCAGTTTTCTTAGCAAATGAGTATATTTCAAAGAATTTCAAAGCACTTCTTGCTGGTTTTTAACTTGTCTTCACAATTCTTGTCATTTAAGTGGTTAAGGAAGACAGATTCGGCAGTCTTGGGCTCATTTTCATTTAAAGTTAATACTTGTGTATTGTTTGGTGGTGGGAAGGGAAAGACAGAAGGTAAGGTGATGTGAATGTTATATTAAGTCACTCTTGATATTTACAGTCGACAACTCACATTCACTACCATGTAGCATGAACCCTTTGATGAATACCAATATCGAAAGGTGGTCACTGCAAGAAATTTTCGTTGATTGAGTTATAATTTGACTTGAAGAGGCCATTTATATAATGTTTTGTAATTTCATGGGCATCAACAGCAAGCATGAACTAAGTCACTCCTTGTGCATAGAATTGTCCTAGGAGATTAGAGGTAAGCTGGAAGACACCAGGGTAGGAGGGGACCAGAGTGACATGGTCATACTTACCTGCCTGCCTAGGGCCATGCTAATGTCATCCAAACTTGGGAAGATTGCTTGGTCCATCTTGGCAAGAACACAGGCCATCACGCTAAACAGCTTAGCCACAAAGAGGGCCTTTAAGCAACACAGAAGAAACATGTTATTCATTCAGTCACAATAGTAATAGGCACCCACTGTCTGCAGGGACTGACATCCAGCTGTTCTGACTGTAGTGTAGAACACACCAGCATCGTGCTGATCTGAACATGGAGCAGAGGTTAGCACCAGTACCAGGAGCAGTGCATACCAAGCCCTGCTGCTCTCCAGGCCCAGTGGCACTGTCCCCTGCTATTTTTGCTAGAGAGGGTTCACTCCCCAGGAATCCCCTGGGGCACTCTGCAGCCACTAAGAGACAGGTGGGCCCAGAAGCACAGGGAGTTAGCTCTGGTAAAACAATTCAGTTGAAGGTCCTGTTCTGCCACTCAGCGGTCATTAGGGTACTCAGTGGCCTCCCTGCTTATCAATTTCTTCATCCGTAAAGCAGATATAATGACTCCATTCCTACAGTGTTGTCATGGAGATGACAGGGTGAAAGGAGATGCTAGCTGCTTGTGAGAGCATTGGCAAGTTTATTGAGTACTTGCTGAAGGTGCAGGGCTATTAGAAGTTCTGGATCCAGACCAACAGACTTAGAATCTAGCCACCAGACCTGCCCTGGGTACCCACTTTTGTATGGCCCTGAGCCTGTCATTTGGTCTCTCTAGACATGGATTAGACATGCAGACTCTTGCAGCTTTCTCTGACTAAGGCCCACGGTGAATCCTCTCCAGCAATGGTGTTGACTGTCTGTGCTCCGTAGAGTGTGCAGCTGTGGAATATTTTATTGAAGAAAAGTTTCCACGGCTTTCAGTATCGACGATGATCACTAGACTGTGTGCCCTCTAGGAGGATTCCAGAGAGGTCTCCTCGAAGGAATCAGGAATGGGCTCGGTGAAGAGTGGAGGATGGGTCAGGAGAGAGAACATGGTGGGGATGGGTGAGAGTAGAGGGGACCCCTGGGGTGAGGGCTCCATTCTGAACTGTCCAGAGTGGCTGGAGAGAACGTGACAGAAGTGGGTGGGGGAAGGCCTGGATGGCAGAGGGCATGAAGAGTGTGAGCTTTTACTTCAAAGCCCTGCCAGGGTGGCAAGGCCGTTGTTGAAGCTGTTTTGCAGATATGGCAACTAAGGCCCACAAGGCAGAGTGAAATTCCCGAGAGGAAGGTGCTTTTCTGTGAGAGAGCAAACTCAAGGACATGGGTGCTCCCTCCCTGATCTTGCCTCTTTCTGCTAGCACTTGGTACTCAAAGAAATGGCAAGGTGCAGCCAGATTTCAAAAAAAAAAAAAAAGAAATACATTGCTCTTCTTTAGAAATAGACAATAAAACCTGGAGTTAAGACAAAATAACTTTCATAGCATATCTGAGTTACAAGACATGAGGGTTCTTTATGTGGCCTTCTTAGGATTTTGGCAGCTACATACAGTCAACAACTCACAGAAACCCAAAGGGATGCAGGAACCCACAGACCAGAGTCTCCTACATTCTCTGGCTCATAAAGAAGACACTGCACCTTCAGTAAAGCTGGTCCCTTACCTAAAGGCATGCATTTCTACTGAGGACCTAAACCTGGAGAAGGCAAAGGAAGACAGTGTCCTCTTCTCTCTGGAAAAGCATTGAGCTACATTTGGGACCAGACAAGGCTTCCTGTGGCATCGTAATGAATGCGTTTCACATCTTACATTCTTGTAGTCCAAGATTCCATCCCATTGACTCAAAACATTGTTGTCTCGGATGCTGACCATACCTCGGAAGGCGTTGATATGGATGAGTTGGGTCCCAACAGATCCATCCAGAGGATGGCTGTCACTGATGTTCTAGAGAAAACCAAGCAACGGTGAGAAGAGTCAAAAGCCCAGAGTATTCTGTAAGTTGAAGGGTGACCCATATGAAATTTGAGGGATGGATGTCACTCTGATTATCACCTTGGAAATATTTCTGCCCAAAGGGGACTAGACAGATGAGACCCTCTTCACTCTACTTACCCTGAGGGCCAGAGATGGAGTTAGGAAGAAGACCACGAGTATGGAAGACACAGTCTGAAATGGGAACAAATATCAATGCACTTTTTCTTTAACTTCAGATGACAGTCCACAGTCTAAGGATTTATAATTTTCACTGTCTCTCATGCCCACAGGGCTCCAGTGTGTATCAGGAGACAAGGTCAATATGGTTGAATGGGGTATTCTGGCTTCTCAGGAGGCAAAGCTTTATCATTCACTCAAAAACACTTACTGGTTTGCTTCTGCAATCAATCATTGGGATGAATATTAGGCAATCTACAGACCTGCATACAGGGTCTGTCAGATTGCCTAACAATCTGCACACAGGGTAGGGCCATCCTAGGCCAAATGTAATAGTAGTCACAATTCCAGGCCTCCGTCTCCTTTAGCTGCACCTTCTTCTCTACTTCCAGCCACTGGTCTAGATCGTTATCCAAACCCCAAATTACATTGTTGGTCCTGCCTTGCCCTATGCACCCACTTAGAAACAGATATCCTATTGATTTCCTTTCCTCTGGATTCTCTCATCTGGCTTAAAAATAAAAGACCCATCGCCAGTTATTTTTACCTTATTTTGAATAGATTGTATTCAAATGTGACCAGTTCTTAAAATACTGGTTGCTGATCATTTCCTTTCTGTGTGGCCTGGCTTGCCATACAGGTATTTCAGGCATCAGAGAAGAAGTGAAAGAGAATTAGTTGGGGGTGGCAATAGGCTAGGGTGAGAAAATGCAGCAATGAACCCTTCCCTATATTCCACAGCTCATTATCTGATGTATTCAGACTCACTTGGCTCAAGTGCACTTCCACATGAGCTGGAATGGACAGGCACTGCCCCTCTCCCCCACCCCCATGACAGCCCATGAAATACTCCAGGGGCAATTCCTACAGTAAAAGGGGAGATAGGTCTTTGAAGAAGAAGTCAATAGCTAATCGACGAACAGTAATCATAGTGTGGTGAGGTCAGTCAAGGAGATAATGGAGATGCAGATGACAAAATTACTGATGCCATGTATAATATACATCTGAAGATTTCCTGTACTGGCAATTTGTAAATAAGATAAACTCAGGAAGACAGGACCTTAAAATATGCACCTACCCAATACCGAAAGAGTCCTGAAACTTAAGAAGTTGGTTATTAGTTTCCTTGGTGAAGACTCTTCTTTCAGATACTAAAAAACAGAATGGTAGCCAAGCCCAGTGATGCATGTCCATAATCCCAGCGGTTCAGGAGGCTGTGGCAGGAGGATCAAAAGTTCAAAGCCAGCCTCAGCAACTTAGAGAGGCACTTAAGCAACGGAGCAAGACCCTGCCTCTCTCTACATGTGGGCTGGGGATGTGGCTCAGTGGTTAAGCACCCCTGGGTTCAATCCTCAGTACAAAAAACAAAACAATAAACCAGAATGGTATGTGCCAAAATAAGATTTGAAAATTCTATTTGGATTTAATTGGAAGAGTCCAGTAGGGTAGAGGAGAACTTCTCACTAGCTATTTTATGTTCCGAGGGTAAAACTACTTATTTAAAATTAGAAAATGTACTTACAATGTGTTTCATGTTGTCTCTCTCTCTCTCAGACCTTGTGCAACTGCTTTCATAATAGGATTTTGTATGTCCCACTTATTTCTAAATCTGGTTTATATAGCCCTAGACTTTGCAACTATTGCCATGATAAGGGTATGTGGGAGTACCTAACCGTGATCCAAATACCACTTGGGAGAGAGAGAAAGTTTATGTAATTATACTTATCACTTTTCTTTGAGTTCATCTAAGTATTTTCCTTTCTTCCTGATACCACCACCGGTTCCAAGGCAAACATAGGAAATGAAGGAGGCCTTGTGGGCTGGCATATCCATGACCTTAACTGCTAAGGTAAGGATTACAAACAGTAGACCTGCACAAAATGATCCAGATACACAATCAATGAGCTCACTGTTTCTACTTGTCAATTTCTGAAGTTTTTTTTTAAATTATTATGTTTAATAACAGGGTGGTTGGGAGAAACCTTATGAAGCCCAAAGAGGCAGACTGAGTTCAATTAAGATTAAACTGGTTGAAAAATCAATCTGGTCCAGCTCTTCATCCAAACCCCAAAGCACATGGTTTGCACTGCCCTCTGCCCACCCAACAAGCTGACCTAAGTTCACCTCTTCCAACAGCCGCCTCTGGTTGACTTTCCTGATATTCTGAAATTTTGTTCTCATTATAGGACTCTCTCCTCCCAGCTTTCATTTCAGGGTGTTTTTTTGTTTGTTTGTTTGTTTGTTTGTTTGTTTTCCATAAAGGACACTTTGATCGGCCCAGAACCCTTGATACATGGGGAACCATGACCTTCATGTAACAAGTTAAGCACCAATTTAGGACTTTTCACACATTGTCTTCATTTTCCTTAAGTTCTGATGTGGTGGCCCAGTGACCTGGATCAAATACCTTAAGGTGAGAACTAAACAGATATTTTTTTTTATGAGAGAAGAAGAGCTAATCAGGTGAGGCTGGCACTGGAGTGATCCAAGAGGAAAGATAGGCAGCTCAGTCCTTACTTAATGCAATTGGCCATAGGTGCTTTGAATAGATGGACATGGTCATCCAGGGCTCAGATAATATCATACTCATATCTCCATTGCTCTCAGTACTTTAAAAATGTACAAATGATATATTCAACCATTATTGACTAAGTAAGTAAAATGGATTAAAAGGATAACGTTTAGAGACTAACAAAAAGTGCTGTGCTATGTCTCTAAATAGGTAATGACAATAAGGGAGAAATAAAAGTTAAACCATTTTTATTTAGCCCAGGGAGTTTGTGAGAAGCTTAATAGAGCCATCAAATTTTGAAGGAAGAAGGGATCGTGAATTGTCATGTGGATTCGCTAATGAAAACTTTGTAGGAATCAGGAAGGATGGTGATTCTTAGAAAATCAAAAGGATGTATAAATCACCTTACAGCTTATAAATCAACTTCATAGTCATGATTTTATTTGCTCCTTATTACAACTCTATGGGTTAGGAGGAATAGTAAATGCTAATCCATTTTTACAAATGAGGATATGCAGTCAATAGATTAACAAGTATACATGAACTAAGTTCAATTTCCAACTCTGCATTAATCAGATCTATTATTGCAGAGCTAAAATTTGAACTTGAGTTTCTGGACCTTGAAGTTTCTAATTATGGGCAGTTCCCCCACCAAATGTAAGGCCTTTTGGAGTTTGTTAGCTTCAGAACATAGATTAAAAGAGCAAGGATCCCGGTGGAACAAATGATCTGCTTTTATGTCTCTATATATAGTTTTCTGTTTTTCAGAAACTATGTTGAGCAACTAATTTTATTGGAGTCTCTCTTGATGCAAATGGAAAGAAACCAAGAGTCATTCAAGTTGCAGACAACCAAGTGCCATGCCTCTTGCCCTAAGTTCAGGTGTAAGGAGTGAAGGATCCAGAGTTAAAGGAAGCTGTATCATAGTGAGAGAACCAGCAGGTGGTTCCAAATGAGCCTCCAGTCCTGGAAAGATCTGAAATGGAGGGAATCCAAACAAAAAGAGAATAGAGTTCCAAAAGGAAGGAAGATAGAGACGTAAGACCTCAAGGAATTAAAAAGCTACGACAGACAACCCATCACCTCTGAGGTCCCTACTATTTGACATCTGTTATTAACTGGAGGGCAGTCATTTAATTCCTCTAGGGTCACCCTTGTCATCTTTTGAGTAATGGCATAGTGTTGGGATAGCTTCACAATCAAATGCCTTATGTAAATGAAGTTATTCTTAAATGCAATTATTATTATTATAATGATATCTGAGTACTTGTTAGAGTACTGGCATGTAAGTTTGCTAATAAATAATGATTCGATTGCATATTGAAATCTGCATTCAGTTCTGCAAAGACCAATAGTCATGTACCAGGCAAAGAGGAATATTTCACCAATAAAGTCAAACCATGGAATCTCACTGAGGAATGAGATTTTTTTTTCTAATTTTTATCGTTGGTTGTTCAAAACATTACATAGTTCTTGATATATCATATTTCACATTTTGATTCAAGTGGGTTATGAACTCCCATTTTACCCCGTATACAGATTGCAGAATCACATCGGTTACACATCCATTGATTTACATATTGCCATACTAGTGTCTGTTGTATTCTGCTGCCTTTCCTATCCTCTACTATCCTCCCTCCCCTCCTCTCCCCTCCCCTCCCCTCTTCTCTCTCTACCCCATCTACTGTAATTCATTTCTCCCCCTTGTTTTTTTTCCCTTTCCCCTCACTTCCTCTTGTATGTAATTTTGTATAACTCTGAGGGTCTCCTTCCATTTCCATGCAATTTCCCTTCTCTCTCCCTTTCCCTCCCACCTCTCATCCCTGTTTAATGTTAATCTTCTTCTCATGCTCTTTGTCCCTACTCTGTTCTTAGTTACTCTCCTTATATCAAAGAAGACATTTGGCATTTGTTTTTTAGGGATTGGCTAGAGTTTTGGTTCAAAGAAAGTTTAGAAAGCACCCCTACTTCCCCACTACATACTCTCCTCTGTCTTCTAATTCATTCTTAAATTCTTCCAATCTCACCAATTAAATTCTCAAAAGTCCTGCAAACATTTTCATGACTCGGTTGCCATTAACCTTTGCCTCCCTGCCTTCTACTTATTTGCAACCCATTCCAGATGCTGACCAAATCTTCCTCTCCACTGTCCCACATACATAGCCCATGCTTTCCTAACTCCATGCCTAGGTCCATTCCTGGAGGTTCCCTATTCTACTTCTTTCCCTTCTTTCTTCTTCAAGCTAAATTTGAACAGCAGGCCCTTTCCCCCAACTTTGCTTCACTCACAGCCAAATGTGCTCTCTTCTTTGGAAACATTTTCGTTCTCTTCTTGTACTTTACTTTTTCTATTTATATTTTTGTAGTGTTATACGTATTCATATAGTTGTGTGAGCAGGTCTTCAAATTGCACATCGATGCCACTTGGCTGTAAACTCCATGAGGTTAGAGATTCTGTTTTGTTCTCTGCTGTGCTCAGTACTCCCACGCAGAGGAGATACTGAAAGTT